TTTTCTGGTGGTAATTTACAATGTAATTCTGCAGTCTGTCTTTCATGAGACACAGGACTGGGCTGGTGAATCTATCAGTGCTGTTTAATGCTGCTGAGAGCAATTAAATTGTTGACAAGAGTAGAGCTGCAGAATGGGAAAATAAATAATACAAAGGTGAGCGTCGCTGGAGTTGTATTCTGTGTCATGTTAAAGTGTCTTCCTAATAAGTCTCAAGGGGAAGGGAGAGGTTATGTCTGCCTGTAGAAGACTAGTTATGGGAAATAGCTTTCTTTCAAAGCTTGGTAGACTCCTGTCTAGGCTGTCTTAAGGCTGTACATTTGTGCAGTAGCACTGTTACAGTCAGTCTCAGGTGTATATTTATCTGTAGGATGCATGAAAATTTCTGATACCCAAGAAATTTACGCTATTTGAAGCTAATCTCAAATTCTTGTGAATGCTTGGTATAAATATATTTGAAAGGGTTGGGAACTCATCTGGCAAGGCTTTTTCAAGATTCTTGTACTAATTGATTATTGTTGTCCCTTTTAGGTCGTTCAGACATATATTTATTGCAAGTGAAACAACTTTGAATTGGGAATTAATTTAGGGAATCATCTGTTTACTCGCATGTCTAACATCTTATGGTCACTTTTTTGGTGCCTTAGGCCTAAAATGCATATGTTTGCAACTGTTTTGATTTTTCAAGATGGTCTTGAAAAGAGTAGTCATCTTCACAGATTCAAAGCTTTTGCTTTATTTCATCTCTTGTAACTGCTTTATTTTGCCTGCTCTTCTCAAGGCATATGGTGTGTATACTGCAAGTGCTTTAAAGCAAGTTTTTCATGTTCCTTGCTCTTCAGAGCTTCTAAGACAGGCTTTGTCACAGTTGGTTTCTTAAATATATTGTACTCCTGTGTACAGTGGTAGGCTGTACTAACTCATTTTATTGAGTAGTTCATTCACAACCAGGAGTTTGTCTTCTGTGGAAAGTCTCGATTGAAAGTCTTCAGTTGGCACTCAGCAAGATGGTCTCCCTTAGAATTGTATAATACAGGAGAGGAAAAAAATGTAGGTGCTTCCTAAACTCAAGTTGGTAGGCTTTGCTTTTCTATGCCAGCAGTTCTTGGCCACATCTTTGTTTTGTCATCCTTAGGACTGCTTTGATAGTTCTTTCAAATGAATAATTCTCTTATTTCCTTCCTGTGTTCCTGAGACCTGTCTGGTTCATAATTTATGAAGGAAATATTCTCATAATCTCTTAACTGATAATTTTTATAAAAGAACAGACCTATGTCTATATGCTTATGTATATATGCACTGTGTGTATATGTAATATGATTTTTAACAGCTCAGCAATGATTTGGAGCATCCCTGTGGAATGTTTTAAGTTAATTTTCAAGTTGTAAAACTGATATATGCCAAAAGCTTTTGTAACGTGCCAGGAGGGCGGTTGGGAACAGAGCTCATTGCAGGTTCCCGTTGGAGCGGTTAGGCTTGCTTTATTCATTAACTAGGCTGGAGCTGAGTTAGCGCTGGAGTGAGGCACAGCAGATGGGTGGCACTGAAGGTGACCCTTCTTCATCAAACAAATGGAAATGGAGCTTTGACTGCTTTTCTTGCTCTCAGCTCTGTTCTGTATCTGTCACATGTTGTGAGTTATCACCGGTGGCCTTTATTAGGTAGTGGCCTTTTGCAGTCCACATTATTTAAGAGTCCTTAAAAGGTTTTATTACTTAAGCCTTGCTGGTTTGAACTAACAGCGGAGATGTCAGTTGACACACTGTGCTGCATTGCAAATTCCTTACCTATTTAATTCCTACCCAAACAAAATTTGAAATCAAGTTGTGGTGAAAGAGACTTTTGTCAAGCAGCAGCAACAAAAGTCTGCCCCAGAATAAGATAGTTTGAATATTTTCCTTTTGTTTATTTGATTTAGATCAGCTTAGTAACACCTACATGTGAAACTGATTTGTTTTTCTAAATGATGAGTAAATGCTGTTTTGAAGAAGTGTTCTTAATTTATAAACCTAGGGACCAAAATGTTATCAGCTGTATTACTGACCTGTAGAAATCTTTATCTAAACCAGTTAGTTGTAAATAGACACGCTTAAGCATAAGAGAAAAATAGATTGTAAGTAAACATATGTATAAGAGAAATCTTAGTAAAACTTTTAACTCAGCCTTTTATTTAATACATCAATGTTAACATTTTTTTTCCCTATATTTATTTAATTCTATCCAAGAGCAGCTTGACGTATTTCTCTAATCTTTTGGCTCCTAGTATACACAAAATTACATAACATAAAAATAAAGAACTGTATCTGTAAGATTTATAAATATATAATAGAGGAAAAAAAAGTGCTGTCAAACTTAGCATAGACTTATTCTTTGTTTCAAATCAACTTCAAGCTGAGGCAAATTAACCTTTCTTCTGGAAAGTACAGATACAGATTTGGATTATAATTGATTGTTTAAATCAAGGTTTCTTCCTTTCAGATTTAAATTAGAATTGATGGTTTTGTTTATTTTGGTATAAGTCAATCTGCTTTAACCAAAGGTGTGAGCTTATTTTTCTGAACCCTGAAAGTCAGATTGGTAAATACTCTTGTTGCTCAAGAGAAATGGATTGAGAAATGTCCTTGTGGCTGTTCTCCTGCTGTAGCTCTGGGCGTTAAGGAGGGAGCGCACACATCAGATACAACTTTTAACTCAAGCAGAATGCCGGAAAGCCAGTTAGGTTGGATGCAGATGTGTATTGGTTTTTCCTCCTTCCTCCCCTCCCTCCTTCTGCTAATGCAGTCGGTTTCTCATTGCTGTTGGGATGTTCTTTCGCTACTGATGACAGCTGGGGGGGGGGGGGGGGGGAGGCTGGGGGGGGGGGGGGTGAGCTTTTAGAAGTGTATTTTAGTCTTATGGTAGTGGTCAGATAACATGTTAGTAGACTCCTGTCTGCCTGTGCAGATGCAGGTGATGCTTCTCTTCACTGTGTGTATGTGAATAGATTATATGCATGTATCAGTAGTGATGTACTCTGTCTTCATTATACTACTAATAATGATGATATACTACTAATAATGATGATATACTTATTATGAGGTAGTCTTTAGAGAAACAATGACAGAGAGAAGGTTAATGATTGTCAGGGATAAAGCTGTCATTTTCACCAGTCACGCAAAAAGCACTTCTGTAGCTTGATAGAAACTATGAGCTCGTGGTTGAGCTTTTGGTTGAAATTCTCTGGCCTTTTTTTATAGGAGGCTAGAATTGAACTTCAGGGTCCCTCTTGGCTGCTAGTGTTAATCCCTTTGTGGAAATGATCATGAAGTAATAGCTGTTAGAGCCTAACTGATAAGTTATAATAGGAAAGCAAATGAAATGTCAACAGTTGTGAAAGTGACTTTAAATTTTGACCCTACATTTGAAAGCATTGCATAAATGTAACAACATGTTATCTCGGAATAACATGGAGGAATATAGCACATACTCAGGTGCCTGTATGATGCCTAGAATTAGAGATAGCCGTAGAGCATACTGACAATATGTCACTTTATTCTTCTGAAATGTATTAACTAGGTTACAGTTAAAAGAATTTAAAATGTGTCATTCTGAGCTATTTGTAAGTGTTTAAGTTCAGTGGGAGTCACTTTTAGAGAAAGCATGTGGGTACATACTGTAAAAGATGGTTTTTGTAATTTCTTTATGCATCAGTCTTGTGCAGCTTTTCAAAGCAAGCAGGAACCGATGAAGGTTTGCTTTTGATCCATTGCAGCATTTAAAATTCTAGTAGTCAAAAGGGTATGTATTATTGAAAGATTTTAGCATGGAGGTTTTTTGTTTTCAGTATAAAGTTGAATTAGGATAATATTTCTTATCATGCTTTTAGAGATCAAAGTATTAGTACAGTAAATAATCCTCTTTGTCTAACATAACTAAATATATAGTGCTGGATTGCATACTGTGCTCCTTACTTCAGGAGAAACCAAGAATTGTTTGTGGGCTGTCTGCTAGTAGAACAGTTCATCTCTCCATGTGGGAAGAGCATCTTTTGCTGGCACAGGATGGGATTATACCTTTGCCAGGAGCCAGTGCCACTTTTGCCATTATACCAGTACTAGGAGTCAGTGACAGCTCCTTAATTATTGCTTTTGTCTGTAGCAGTGTATCCTGTGTGGAGAATGTGTCCTTTCTTAAAATCATTCAGTAATGATCCCGTGACTTTTACAGTGTCTGTACTCAGTGGTTACTGCCAAGACGAGCAAATGTGATATTTGTGTGTGTGTGCAAGGTTGCCATGTCTGTGTATCTATGATATATATGGATATATATGCACACGCAGGCATCCAAACTTGCATGTTGAGAATGGAAGGTAAATACTTTGCCAACTGTTGTTGGCCTTGTTTGGCTGATGTAGTTGTACTAACGTCCTCAACAAAATATACTTGGAAGTGCAACCAACTAAACATATATAACAGACCACTGAAAAAAATATATATCAGTATATAGTTTCCTACAAGATGATGCTAATTCCACATCAGTTGTTTTTCTTCTCAGGTATGCTGCAATAAATGCATAGAATCAGTAGAAATAATTTGATAGGCAAGAATTATATGGAATTTAGTGGAAATAAGGATATTTAGTATGAAACAATTCATTTGTTTTAAGGTAAGTGTGTTAATATTTCTATACCACAGGATAAGATAAAAACATAAATAGACTTCAGAGTTCAAGCCAAGTTTGCCAGTCTGCATTGATATTAAATGCAAAGAATTTTGTCTAGCCAGGGTCACCCAGTGAGCCTTGTGTGGCTTTTAAAAAATGTCTGTAGCTTTCAGAGTACTTTGGATGCACAAATGTTAAGAAAAGGCACTTAAGTAAATCAATACGTATTTTACCTTTTCTCTGAAATAGTGCTGTTTAACTGCTGGTTGGAGATAACCCTAAGGTGGAAGAGCTCAGTGGGCAGTCTCATGAACTGTTCTTAATGAGCATTATGTTATTTTCCCCTCTCATTTTTCTAGGCTGTTCAATTAACCCCTAGACGATGGCTGAACCTGCAGGAGTACCAAAGCAAAAAACTAATGGCAGACCATGGGGTTACAGTTCAGAGATTCTTTGTAGCTGATTCTGCAAATGATGCCCTGGAGGCTGCTCAAAGACTAAGTAAGTTGACTGATAATGGGAAGAATATGCTTCACCAGATAGCAATCTGGAAAATAAATTGCTTTGTAATAAGTTGTACACAATCTTCAAATTGATGCTTATTGAAAAGGTTTGATATATTATCCAGACCATAAATATATGCTTAATTTCATATGTGAACAAGTTTATAACAGTGATATTTCTTTAGAACTTTATTTCTAAAATGTCTTGTATGCAGCATGTAACCTGAAGTCTTTAATTAACATTATTTATGTAATTTTGTATAATTCAGAATAACATCATGAATGGTTGTTGAAGAAAATGATTTGTTGTTGTATGCTTGGTATAATTTAAGGAACTGAAGTAAATGAACTTGTGTAAAAAGTTGTTTTCAAACAAAAATATGCTCTATTAAAAAGCAAAGGAAGAAAAAGGTTGTGGGCGCTCCATTTTAAAAGGTATCCAGAAACAACTTGGACACAACACATAGTTTGCCTATTAAACTGTCTTTATCTCAACACATGAGTTTTCTCACTTTTACTATTCCTATTCTCTCCCCCATCCCGCTGGGGGCGGGGAGTGAGAGAGCAGCTGTGTGGGGCTCATTGCCGGTTAGGGTTAAACCATGACACCATCACAAAAGGACTTGACAGTGGCTGGGAGAGCAGACCATGCTTTGGGAACTTCATTTTGCTTCTCTAACAACATCCTCTTTTTAGTATGATGAAAATAAGGTGATAATGTGGGTCTGAAATCAATTTAAGTTATACCTTTTCTCTCAAAGGGAAATGTGATGAAGTAAGTTTGTAACCTAATTGTAACTCTGAAAGAAATTTTGTACTTTTAATAGTAGTTTGCTTAGTTTTCCTGTTTTCATTTAGCTTTTGTTAATATGTCACACATCAAAATGCCAGAGGATAGACATTATTTTATTCTAATGGTGTAGTAACAGGAAAGGTTTTTGGTTTGTTTTACATAGTGCACAAACCACTTAGTTTTAATGCATTTCAGTTGCACACTGGAAAGTAAATTAACACAACTTACCCGTAGCAAAGGTCTCATCAGACCTCGATGGCTTGATAAATCTCTATAACTTTATTAAGGTGATACATTTTTTCAGTAATCAAAACCTTTTTGTGACAATGAGTATATTTGAAAATATACTTGAAACAAAAACGTTAAATGCAACTTTTATGGTCATTTGACAGTGCAAAATGAAAAATGCTGACACAAAGCAGTGCTCATGAATTTGGAGGGTTTCCTTGTGTCTGGATGTCTGAGAAAATCAAGAAATGTTAACTGAGGCTGTGGCAGGTTTTTCACAAATCTTACAGCACTTAAACTCTCCCCTTCATGATTGAACTCGTATTGGTCTATCCAATAACTATTACTAGTCTCGATCTCTATATAACTATTTGGAGAAATAAATTACTTCATTAAAGGCAGTGAACCTCTTCTGGTTTATGATGCCAGATTTATTTTAAATAACTTCTGTAGCTTGCTTGCTTTGCAAATCACAGAAATATTGGTCTGTTTAAAAGAACTGTGTTGAAATTTAAATAATCAAAAGTAAAATCTGAAAGCATTTGCTAATTAAACTATATCAGGTAAATTGTATGTATTTTAACTGGGTTTGCTTATTAACACTTCAAAAATTATAAGTCAGTGGTACCTTTCTTTATTTTATCTAGTTGTATTCAGCCATGCTGCGTTACTGGGCATTAAAGAATTGTGGTTTACAATGTGGAAGCTATTTCATGTTGAAATGATTGACACTCCATTGATCCACTAAATAATGAACAACATCCCTGTGATATTCTAATAGTGCACCGTCATTGTACTTATAACATGCGCTTTGAAAACTAAGCACCAAGAACACAAGTTTTGCTACCGTGGTCATTGTTGTTCCACGATTTCAACAGATTTATCTTCTTTATGATCCTTCAGACCAGCAGTATCTCTGTCATTCAGGTTTATCTGCACAATTTGATCTGTGCTGCCGTCTTCTGAATATGTAACCACACCAAGTAAAAAGTTATGAGCAAAACAAAAAAGTTCAGCCTACAGAAGGCACAAAATATTCCAAAATAAAATAATCAGTGGAGGCGGCTTTGGGGATGTTCTTGACAGACATGCATTCTGCAGTAAAAGATGGTGAAAGGAGAGGCCAAGCACCCCTGCCAAGTCCTGCTTGAAAATCTGGTGTTTTAGATACTACATGCCACATTGCAGCTGTCCTTAACTTTCGCTTCTGCAAACAAGAAAGGATGCTTGCCAACATATTTTTAAGATAAAAATAGAAAAAAGTTTTCCAAACTTGAAAGTCAAAGGTTCAGTATTTCTCTTGTGAAAGGAGGTTCTTTCTATAGACCTGTCATCGTGAATACAGGAGAAACAATAATTTTCCATGATAATCTTACAGCATTATATCACTCATATAAGTCTGTATGTGTGATAAGGGGGTACAGATAAAGGGCTCGAAATTCCTGACATAGAAATCTTTATGAAGTCTGGTATTCACAAATTAATTTCACAATTTCACCAAATGCTACATACTTGACAGAGCTGTCTATACTGCTGCAGTGCCTGTGGTCACCAATTTTGCTATTGTTGGGTTTCCTGTTGACGCAATGGGAAAAGATGGGATTAGATAATTTTTGCTGCTGTCTTCACTTGTCAGGAAGGTGTTAATGCATGTGTTCGTGAAAGGGTTTGCATTTATCCAGTATTAGCAATTTTCTTACAGTTCGCTCATTTACTCTGTTGCTCTCTCTATTTTTATTAATATATACACTGAATACACTGAATATTAATTTTCTCAGAGAGATTTTCAAAACTTACCAACAGTACAAAAGGCAGTCTACAAGGAATTTTTAGAGGAATTAAAAGATTGGGTTTTTTTCTTCTAAGATAACAATGGCAGATTTGAAGAAAATTAAAATGACATCACTAATATTGACTTCAAAAGAAGTTGTACACAATAAGGAATACAGAATTAGGTCCCAAGGAATTCATTGCCTTTTACATGCTAAGCAATTTTCAGGTGTAACTCTTGTAGAGAAGGCAGCATTTACAGAATACCAAGAAAGGCACTCACAAATGGTTTTGTGTTTCATGTTAGAATTCTGAGGTTTTCAAGAGAGTATAGACAAAAATGTGCTGTTTTGCTACAACAACATGGCATTGCTTGATCTGCCATCTGAAGAAACACAACCTGTAAACAAGTTCTTACAGTTCTAGTGCAGCTGTTTAACAGAACAAAGTGAAATATTTGTGAACTGAGTTTTTGTCTGAAATGTGACATCATTTGGCTGTTTCTGCATGAAGTCACGAGTCTTCTGATCTAATTCTCTCTTAATGCAGTGGTACATTAATGGTTTGTTTAGCCAGAGAAGGTATTTCCTTTCTTGTTGTTTCTTTTCCTTATGCTGTGGTACCTATATAAGGAAAAAAAAATCCTTATATATGCATACATATACCCAGACTATTAGGGTGTGCACACTTTCATTGCCTGTATTGGGCAGATGCACTGTGCATTGTTTCAGGGTCCATCATTTTTTCTAGCCCTCTCCACCAGCGGCTAGAGAAAGTCTGCTTCAGCTCGTGCACTGTTCTTTAGGTTCTGCCTGATGGAGAAGTTATTAAGGGAAGCATCATTTTAAACTGGTAGGTGGACGAAGCTGAGAGGGATTATAATTATGCTGGAGGGTGTTACTAGGTACTGTCAATTGTCTCTCTGAATCAGCAGAGACCTTACAGAGGTGGTTGAAAATGCTGACAAACCTAAATGGATGCTGGAAGCTTGGCATCCGTTTCTTTTTCTGATTTTTAACAAAAGCACTAGAGTGCTGCCCATTGCCACTTAGGGTGTTTCATTACATTTCGGAATCGGTCAGGTGCAGCGTTCACACTCTATCCCAGAGAAATGCAATTGAATTGAGTGCAAGGCTTTTATTCCCTCTTCTTTAAAAAATGTATAACAAAATATAGTTTCTGCATATCCTATTTCTATTGCCTTATGCATGAGGGAAATCATAAAATTCAGCTTTGGACTGAAGGCATGCTTTTTATATCAGGCTGGAGAGGTAAACATGTATTTTATAAAGAACAGAAGAGGTTTATTGAAGCCTCTTTCTATGAGGTCATTTACCTGTCACCTATTATTCATAATTTCTCAGAATATTGAACGAGTTCTTAGTCATGTGATCACCAGGCTCCTTCCTGTCTCAGCCTGCTGGGTTTTTTCTCCTGGCTATGTTTAATTTAAAGGGAAGGCTGCATTTTTAGATACTGTTTTATATCCCGTATCTGAAAGTTTACCTCTCCAATACAAGTTGGGAAAACTGCTTGAAAGCAATGCGCGTTTAGAATAGATTAAAAATTATCTTTTTGTACATATTACGAAGAAATTGTTGCTGATAATGCTGCCTGCATTTAATCTAAGCTTTTATGTTGGGAAAAACGAAAAACTTGAACCTGATGTTTCTGAGGATATTAGAAATGTGAATTTAGGTTCTGTTTTGTTATACCAGGAAGAGCTTTTCTACGAGTATCCTGTACAGACCAGCCCTCTGTTGTTAAAGTTCTGTTTAAGTAACTTAATTTGCTCTTCAGTCTGTGAGCTTGTCGGCGACTTAGCTGGTCTTTTTTTAGTGGTGGACTTGCCAGTGTTTGGTTAATAGTTGGACTCTATGAACTTAAAGGTCTTTTCCAACATAAATGATTATATGGTTCTATGCTGTGATCATGTGCCTTGCTTGCATGATTTAATTCCCTTTCTTCTACCCATCAGGATAGGAGAGGAATTGCCTCCTTCATCATTTCTGTGACTTCCGTATCTCCCGTATCTCTTTCTATTGTGTGGTTCACTGTGTAGTTATAATTTTTCATCTGTGCATAATGAGTTATTTCTCAAAAAACCCCATGTCCTTAGTGGTTATCACTAGCTATTTTTTAGAGCCCCTTGGGTTATGTGTTGCTGTGTATGTTGAAAAATCCTGTGTTGCTCGAAGAGCGTTCCG